GTTTTGTGCTCACAAGTTAATGTCTTAAACTGCCGACCTTGTTACCGTGCTAATTAATAGTGTTTTCACTATATTTTGGATATAAATATCCATTGCAGAATTGATGTCATACGGCTCGTTCACTGAATCGCTGGCCGTCTCAGTGATCAGCCGTAAAACAGTGATTCTGTCCTAATTCCCTTACATATTATTGGTGGAGTTCCCTTTAAAATCTTAAATGATTCCCTTTGAGCTAAATTGACCTGTTTCCCTTACACAATTCATTGTCATGAGTCAAGTCATGTCACAGCTGATCTTCCTGAGTCAAATCTAGTCACAGTTGATCTTCCTGAGTCAAGTCGCAGCTGATCCTCATGAGTCAAGTCACAGCTGAGCTGCCAGAGCCTCGTTACGTCACAGCTGATCTTCTAGAGTCTCGCCATGTCTCAGCTGTTCGTCCAGAGTCTCGTCACATCTCAACTGTTCATTCAGAGTCATGTCACGCCTCAGTTATTCATCCAGAATCACGTCGCATCACAGCTGATCATCCAGAGTTATGTCACGTCCTGTCTGTCACACCCAGATTCTCAAGGTCAGCCCTTCGGTATCCCAGTCTGGTATCCAGTGTGAGGGATGCACCGCTGGTGTCTGCATGCACCGCTGGTATCCCTAAACCCACTCACTCTAACCCTTCTATTCATAAACTCATTCCCCTGTCTGCAGCACTTCCCATATGGGGGGTTGCTTTATGGTGTATCTGGGCCGCGTACTCCACCGCCGATTTGCTAGAGGCAGCAGCACCGGCTACAACATCTCCAGAGGTGGCGGCTTACGCTGCAGAACCTCCCAAGGTAGCGGTGTCCACTGCTGTGCTCCCAGAGGCCATGGTGTCCACTGTAGTCTCTTCAGAGGTGGCGGCGCAGGCTGCAGAACCTCCCGAGATGCTGACACTTGCCTCAGTTCCTTGCGTGGTGGTAGCACCCAGCAACGCACTTTCTGCCTGTCCTGTTCTGGCCAAGGAGGCCGTCTATGAACTCTCTGCCTGTTCTGTTCCGGCCAAGGAGGTCGTCTGGGAACTCTTTGTCTGTCCTGTCACGGCTATAGAGGCCGTTTACGAACTCCCTGCTTGTCCTGTCACGGCTATGGAGGCCGCCTGTGAACTCTCATCCCGTCCTGTCACGGCTATGGAGGCCGTCGGTGAACTCTCTGCTCATCCTGTCACCGCTATAAGGGCCGTCTGCGAACTCTTTGCTCGTTCTGTCATGGCAACAGCAACGCACTTTCTGCCTGTCCTGTTCTGGCCAAGGAGGCCGCCTATGGATTCTCTGCCTGTTCTGTTCCGGCCAAGGAGGCCGCCTATGAACTCTCTGCCCGTCCGGTTCCGGCCAAGGAGGCCGCCTATGAACTCCCTGTCTGTCTTGTTCTGGCCAAGGAGGTCGTCTGGGAACTCTTTGTCTGTCCTGTCACGCCTATAGAGGCCATTTACGAACTCCCTGCTTGTCCTGTCACGGCTATGGAGGCCGCCTGTGAACTCTCATCCCGTCCTGTCACGGCTATGGAGGCCGTCGGTGAACTCTCTGCTCATCCTGTCACAGCTATAAGGGCCGTCTGCGAACTCTTTGCTCGTTCTGTCATGGCAATGGAGGCCGTTTGTGAACTTTTGTCTTGTCCCGACCCAGCCATGGAGGCTGCCTTTGAACGCTCAGTCTTGTCTATCAACCCCAATGTTCTGTCTGTGTTGTCTGT